TCTTTCAGCCTCAGCGCAATCCAGGGACCCATTTTCAAAACTACTGAACACAGTCTGAGAATGTAGAGTGAAAGTTTGATGGGGGGTGCCTGAAAAAACAAAAAAAAACACATGCATTCATGTGTGCCTCACTTTTAGAATGGGAAATTATACTCAGAGTCTGCAACACACCTCAAAAGAAAATTATTGAGGTTATGTGATGTGGTTAACTTGCTCTAAGATGTGCTCATCAGACTAATGCCAAAGTGAGAGTATTATGGTGTCAACTGTTCCATCACACCCACATTTAAGCCAACCATTGCCAGGAGTAAAGCTGTAGCCATCATTATGTGAATAAGACTGGCAACATTGAGAGACTACAACAAAACTGTATGTTATGCTGTAACATACAGTTACATACATGGGAGGTCAATGCATTCAGATACACCAGCAGAGATGTCACAGGAAGATCAGAATCCCCACCAGCAGACATTGGTATTAACATAATCTTGTCTTTCATTCACATAAAGCAACAAGAATCATGAGCCGACACGGTCGGACCTCGCAGGATTCAAGGCAGATTGATGCATTCATTTTCCAGAAGCAACGGTTTTGAATAGTCTTTGCAATACACACAGGTAATAAATACATTTAGACAAAAAAGAGAAGAGTCTGCAACCACTATATTGTGTGCCGACCAAAGAAGTTACTTCAGACCAAATATATTGAAACAAAATAAAGTATCAGCGCATGTGTGTATTGCACCACATCCCAAAACCTATTAAAATTATGACAACGTTGTCATGTCACACACATACAACATGTTTGGTTACAGACCTACACTACATGTTCCTGGAAGGGACTTTTGAGTGCATGGATTACTAGTATACCTCTGGGGAATCTCCTTGTGTGTTTAAAATAAATACATTTACCCAAATAATGACTGCAGCTGTTCGGCGGCAGTCACTGTTCAGCCCGACTCCTGTGACAAAAGTCAACGCAAAATCAATTCTTTCAAAGTGCCAACACTGAAAATAAAGTTTGGTATTGCGTTTTACTTTGGGCACTGGAGTTTAAAAAAACGTTCAGCATCACTACCTTAGGCAAAATAGGGTAAAGCACATTCAAACATATAATCAATCATACACACAATCATACATTCATAAACACACACTTCTAAAAAAAAAAAAAAAAAAAAAAAAAAAAGAAGAAAAAGGACACATCACAATAATACACATAAAAGTTATTAAATTGCTCCTTCTCCTGCTTACCTGTTTTGCAGGGAGGGGGCTGCAACCCTGGGGTCCAGCGAGGCACTCTGGGATTATACTGGAGGTACAGTGGAGGATCAGTGTGATCTGCATCTCTGGCTGATGCAGACCATACTAATGGCTCCTTCCTGTGAGCGAGCGATTAGTATAGACTGCATCAGCAAGAGATGTGGATCATACTAATCCTCAACTGGACCACCACGGGAGGATTTTCATTTAATATATTGCAAGTTCTGCAATATATTAAATAGGATCCAGGCACCTTCCAGGTTTAAAGATGTGAATGATGGCGGCCATCTTCAAAAACGTAATAGGACGCGGAGACCAGTGGGACACTGGAGGCCCACCACAACCAAATACTAGGCTTGCATGCCACCAGTGTATCCTCTGCATACCCTCTGTGGCATGCGAGCCATAGGTTCGCCATTACTGATCTAGGAGGTCTTTCTGGCATAATGGCTTTGTATTTGTCTGTATCTGTTTGGTTGTTGGTATCATTTAGGCTCTATGTCTAACATTAGTGCATCACTCCCATAGAAGAGGACCCTGCAAGGTCCTAAAACATTGGCTTGTGGTTCCTGTTAATATATTGACAATTTTGCTCTTTGTTCACATAAAGCAGAGTGTTGATGAAGATCCTCATTTTCTAGGATTATATAATAGTGCCATCCACCAATTCCATACAGCACCCTGCAGAAACAGTCGGCACGCCTGTAACATGCAACAACGTGGGGGTTCATTCTAAATAGACATCAGGATTAAGGTGCCCACACACGGAAATCCCGTGATCGTACGATTATCGGAAGGTGTGTGGAAGCCGTGCGACCTCTACTACTGTAAGGTTGCACGACTTATCTAACATAACCTAGGGAAAACAGTTTTTTTTTTTAAAAAAAAATTTTCGGTACTTTTTTCATTATATAGTAAATTAACATGTTCGAAAACCCGCCGAGAATCGTACGATTTTCGGCGGGTGTGTAGCATGTTCGTAAGATAAAAGCCGGGCGGGCCGGTGTGCGCAAGCGCACACTGCCCGTTCAGCATTGCGGTTAGCGGTCCATTATTTTCTGATCAAAAGATGCTGGACAGAAGGCTGTCAGAGCCACGCATTTCGGCCAGTTCATCAAAAACTCATCAAAATTTGCATAATGCATGGCCAGCTTCAGAATAAAACAAATCGAATTCATATTATTCATATGACAATATCAACAAAGTTTTGACATTTTTGCTGCCAAGATCAGCCAGAATACATTTAGACGACAAACTGAGGGAAACATGTCTGAAGCACGTACACACCCTGTCTCTAGAGAACAAATTTTAGAGGGCGTATCCTTCTTTTTGTAGAATGGGCACATCAATTAAAGGTTCGAATACATATGGAAAGCTATTAGCCTTGAAAGGAAAAATATGAGTACAGAAAGAAAAATATACACGTACAGAAGCACCAATTTCAAACCAACCAAAATGGACTTCAGCTGTTGTCAAGTACCATCACATACTATAAATGCAAGTTAGGTAAAGCTGGGTATAAATGGTTATATATTTTAATTTTTTCTGTTCAACCCACGGACTGAAGAAAAAAAAAAATATAGAACAGATTCTTCCATTAACGCTTGCGAGCTCTGTTGGACGAATCCCCTGCCATTTCCTTTGAATTCTGACAGAAGCCAACGGCTGCTGTCAGAATGTCCAAAAGGAGCTAGCAGCTCTGGCTGGTCAAGAATTTTCCAACCGGCTGACCGAGGGATGTCAGGCAGAAAAGTGCCGAAAGAGACACCCACGTAGTAAATTTCGGCTGGTTCATCAAGAACCGACTGAAATTCAAAACTTCTATACTCTGCTTTAGCCATACACCAATTTGTTTTGTTCAGCATTCCATTAGAGTAGGGGTGGGCAAATTGATATGGAATTCAGGAGCCAGTCTGTTCAATCCAGGAGCCAGCAGGATTGTTTTTTTTTAAGACGCCAGCTCCATTGACAACTAAAGAAAACCTGAAAGTTAGGCGCCAGCTGTAATTTTTAAGGAGCATTGGCTACCTCACTCCTTGGATTTGGTTCAGCCTTGCATTAAAGGAGAACTATGAGATGAGTGATTTTCCCTCAGCCTCATAATCCGAGCCGACCTGTGACAATGAGACTGTCACAGGTCGGCTCAGTAGATCGGGAAGTGAGCGGACACATAACGGCGCTCACTCACTTCTCGTTCTATCCGCGCAGAGAGCCGTGTATCACTCACGGCTCCCTGCAGGGATCCCCCCCGTCCGATCCTCCAGCGCTGACTGGCGGAACGGACGGGGCGGGTACAGCTGGCTCTGCCTCTATATAGGCAGAGCCAGATGTCACTCACGCAGCTGGGCGGATCCAGACATAATTGTCGGGATCCGTTCCTGCATCTCAGTATACCGCGAGCTATAGCTCGCGGTATACTGAGTTTTGGGTGACAGGACGACGCTAGTTTGTGTCCTCCCGTTACCCTTAGGAGAACTATGGGGAAAAGCCCTAACCCCATAGTTCTCCTTTAAAGAATGTATTTTATCTTATGTTAGCATCACGCATGTGTTTTAACTTGATAACACATTCCTAAGTAATTTGATAAAGTCATTTAAAGCACTGTAATAAACCTCTTAGATTTGTCCAATTTCATGTACAATCCTCTTGCATGTTACAAACGACACCTCCCTTCAGGCTGCTTGTACCGATACTGGCTTTATAAAATAAGCAAGCTGAAGAGAACAGAAGGGTTGTTCTAAGCCAGGAATGGGAAGTGATAGGTTATAGTACAGATAAGGCATTTCTCATCTTAAGAACACCGGTTACTAGCCAATATACAAACTGCAAACTACTACGAAATAAAGCAGACCGATCAAAGCTTCACAGGCAAATTAAACTCATTTTAAAAGTAAAAATAAATGGCTGCTATACACACAGGAAAATTATACATGTATATAGACAGAACTGAAGTAATTGCCTTGGGACCGATTTTGAAAGACTAACGAGGTAAAATAAGGGAGCTCTAAACCCAAATGGGAAAGAAATTTCAGGTTTTGAATAAGTGGACCTTTACACTCATAAATCCAATTCTAACAATGCATCCCTCTATGTTTCATGATTAGTAAGAACAGACATGTCAGGTGTAAAATGATGTGATTTTCAAATACTTACACTTGCAGAGCATTCACTTCCTGCTTTGAAAGTGCAAATGACATCAGTTTGCCAACGCAATGCACACTGGGATTGCCTTGGTCATCAGCAGAGCACTGCTGGGAAATCTCATGAGATCTCAGGGAAAGGCATTTTCCTCCCCGAGATGATGTGCATGGTCACATGTCCTAGTCACATGTCTAGTCACATGTGCCAGAAATCCAGGAAGTAATAGAGCTAGTAATCTGCCCTTAGTAAACATGGCCACTGTCAGAAGACTGGAGAAGAAAAGAGAAATAAGGAATTCAAAGAATACAAAGCCTGCAATTATCTAGAAGTATGTGTTTGTAGATGTCATTACTAAAACATTTCTAAAAGGTGTGTTTTGTTATTTTAAAGATATGGGGAAAGGTCCACTTTAAGGACCACTGATGATTATAATGCTTCTATGCACTAACATTTGAGGAGCAGCATGTATCCCAAATGCTTTTTCACAGTCCAAATACATTTTCTATTGTTAAATACATTCTTATTATAAAAAGTACATCCCAAATTTAAGTAAAAACAGGAAACCCAAATTTTACGTTGAAACACAGCATCAGCTCTTACCTGCCATGGGCATGAAAATCCAAGTGTACAAACTGATCCGCATGAGATATAGCTCTCTTGGCACGTTGGTGTTTTTGGTGTAAGGAGTCTGTGTCATAAGTTAAACCTTCATAATGCCTAATGTAATTGTTCAACGGGTTTCCATATTGACCTGAAAAACAAAACAGGCAGAAAATGTTCAACAAAAATTTCTCAGTGTATGCTACACAGTCATGTAAAGAGAAACACATGGCCATTTTTGGGTTTCCAGAAAACCAGCAAGAGGCGGTATCACTTAGCATTTCTTCAGAAAGTATGGTTTAGAGCAGTGGTTCTCAACTCGTGGGTCGCGGCACCCTCTGTTCAACCCTCTGTTCACTTAGCATTTCTTCAGAAAGTATGGTTTAGAGCAGTGGTTCTCAAAAGTGGGTCGCGAGTATGCTATTGGTTAATGGTACAGCATTATGAAATATTCTAACATATACAATCTAAGGAAGATGGTGGTATTACCGTCTGCTTAAATTCTTTTACTACTTTAAACTCCCACTGAACCACCAGTAACGACTTTTATTCTATTCTTTGCTAAAGATAACAAGGTGCCAAGGAGAATTTGCTCACAAGGCATAATGATATATCCTAAAACTACAAATTAACATCCATGCACTGCAATGGAATATTTTAGCTGGCTTTGAAAAATCCATTTGGGTCTCTAGACAATTTTCACAGTGGATGCTCCTTTCTCAAAAAACTACTATACAGTTTGTTTTCAAGCATTATTACTAGAAGAAATGTGTACCAATAGTAATAAGCAAGAGACAATGGATCAAGCTGCCATAGCACTTGCACTAACTTTTGGAAGGCGTAAACAATTTAAAATGTTTAGCACTGAGTCTTCAACTCTGAGATCTCCCCTCACGTCCTGTTTTAGTGACCCTTGCAACTGGAGTAGAAAGAGAAAAGATCCTTCCCATAAGGAACGCAGACACCAAACAAGAAACAATACTTGACAAAAGGTTTGGCTCTTTTGCCACACAAATAAAAACAAACTTTTGGAGTTCTGCTTTAAGACAGACTAATGTGCCTTCTCTAGCAATGTTGTAAAATGTAACAATATGGACTGAAAGGACACTTTACTGTAGTATGGTCTAATTGCTGCTGCTGCGTGATGAGAACATGTTCATGGAAAAAGTTAAAAACATCAAGTGTGCTTGAAAATCTCAGCACATTCTGTTTAGCTGAACTAAAAATCAGATTAAATTTAATTTGTCTTTTGGATCAAAAAGGTCTATGCGCTGCTTGACTAAATAAGGGTAACTAGCGTCCTCCAGTCACCCAAAGCTCAGTATACCGCGAGCAGTACTTAGACGCCACAGCTGAAACGGATCCCGACAATTATGTCTGGATCCACCCAGCTGCGTGAGTGACAGCTGGCTCTGCCTATATAGAGGCAGAGCCAGCTGTACCCGCCCGCTCCCCCATCCATTCTGCCAGTCAGCGCTGGAGGATCTGACAGGGGAGGGGGGAATCCAGTCACTCCCGTCACGGCTCTCTGCAGTGACCGGATTCCCGATCTACTGAGCCGACCTGTGACAGTTTGATTGTCACAGGTCGTCTAGAACTATGAGGATGAGTGAAAATCCCTCACCTCATAGTTCTCCTTTAAAGCTGGCCATACACCTTACAATTATCTGCAGATTTTCTGTGGTCAGATGGAAAAGGTGCAACAGATTCCTCCATCTACACTTAACTGTGTGGATGGAGTAATCTCCACCTGGGCCAATCTGTTGCACTTTTACGTTCTTAGAATTATCTGCAGATTTTTTTGTGGTCAGGTGTATTGGCACCTTAAGTCCGCTTCTCGTTTGGCTGCCAAGTACTTCCCCCAACTTTTCACTTCAGATGGCCGAATTTTGCCGCTACCACACACATTTTTTTTTTTATTAACCCTTGCAGCGGGGCTATCCCCAAACCAGTATATTAACCCCCAAATATTAAAAGATGTATATTCCTAGGTCCATATTCTCAATTCATTCATTATTTGTTCCCTATAATGTAATTCCTAGAAGTGCTAGTTATAGTTAGGCTGCATTATGAAATTTAACTTCGTTATAAACCAACCACAAAGAATAGGCTTTAAAAATATGAATTCCTTGTAAGTCACGCAAGGCTTGACACGTTTTATTAATTGCCGTTTGAATCGATATGATAACCTAAAATATGTGCATGTAAGAAAAGCTTGGTTTTCAGACAGTAGAATTCATAACATTGTGAATAAACCTTCCCTGATTAGTAAATAGAAAGGCTTCTGACAGGGAAGACTGAGCATTGTTACGTCACAAAACGTAGCAACTATAGCAACCATGTAGAGCAGGGGTGGCAAACTCAAATTCATCGGGGGCCGCATCAGCAGTATGGTTACCCTCAAAGGGCCGGTTGTATAGGACTATGTATCTACTCTTTATTATCATAGTAATAGTAATCATGGTGTCCTCAATAAAGTTCTCCTGTGGACGATACCAGAATAGGTTCGCCACCGCTAACATAGGGCCATGAGACATGGCAAAATGAGGTGGCTGCTGTGCGGGCCACATTACAAGGTCCAGCGGGCCGGATTCGGCCCGCGGCCTTGTGTTTGCCACCCCTGATGTAGAGCGTTACTTTGCTGTAGTCGTAAGGATGTCTGCCTATTTGCTATTGGTTATTGCAATACACACACTGTTCTTTGCCTCCATGCCATTAGTACATAGGATGTATTAAACCAGGCAACCAGTGTAACCTAACACTGCAAAAGTAAGCCAACTCTTGCTGAAATGGAAGTTACAAGGGTCAAATTAAAAGCAGGATTTGCATTCTCACCGACTTGTACGGAAATGCAAAACCCGTTTAACCTGAACAGAAGCTTGGGGACACAGACTCATACTTACCTTCCCTAAGTTTCCTACCGCTCTGTTTTACTGCTAAAGCACTGAACCTAAGCCTATATCAGCTCCATGATGCTCAGCATTGAAGTTTACACAGGGCTAATGACCGTCTCCCTCACGTAACAGTGCGAGTCTGGCGACTAGCCACTCAGCTGTGAGCAATGCATCCTGGGGGGGAAAAAAGGGGAGGGGGGGAGGTCCAATTGTCCCTCCATATACAGTCACCAATCAGGTGAAAATTCTCCACCTGGCTCCTTCAATTTTCAGACTAAAGTGCATCGGGTGAGAGGCTACCGACGGGGCCATTCAGAGCAAATTCAGTTGTAAGCGGGTGGGGGTTAGCTATCAAGAGAATGTTATTTTGCCCTGAATCAGCTACGTGACAGATTTTCTTTAGTGACCCTAAACTCAGGAGTGAAATCCTGAGGCTGTAGATCCTCAAATCATCTCTGAATTGGTGCCGACATTGTCCTTCCTTTTGGAGGCTGGCTAGTTTTGTTCCCCATGGTGCCCATGTGTGTTGTAAGGTAGCCACCGCTCCAAGGTCACTCCTGTGATGGCCTACAATATCATGTTTAGTAGAGGTTTATCAAAATTACATTTTTAAACCAGAAAAAAAAAAAATGGTCAGGCCAAAAACCGAAAATTATTTTTTTTTTCTAACCTTTTTACAATTTATACAATTATTTTTTTCAAATATCTTTACTTTTTAACTTTACTGCCGGGGGAGTCAGTGAAATATCAAGGACCCTCCAGAAGGAAGGACAGTGTCAGCACCAGTTCAGAGATGATTTGAGGATCAACAGCTGAGTGATGCATAAATAAGATACATTTTTGTTAATAGTTAGGGTACTTGAATGATTTTTAAGATTTAGCTCTTGTGCTTAGTGTCACTTTAATAATGCAAAAAGACGGCATACACATAGAAGATGCCGACTACCTCTTTGAGCCACCGCACTGAGAGGAGCAAAACTGCTCTCAAATCATCAAAAAAAACTCGATGGTTGTCCCTACTACCTCTCTCGATGCAGCAGATGCATTGTCACCTCCGCCTTTCCCGAGAATCTATTCCTATCCAGGACCTGCTCACCTCTGCCACACCTTCTCTCAAGTCAACACATCAGAACCACCAGTGCTTGACCTGGATATCATTATGCCCCCCACCTCCCAAGAGGGATTGGGGTGACATGAATAGTTAACACAACCTAAGATCTCCTACAGTCGAGACTAGTGAAAAGAGAACTATGGTGGAAGTGTTTTTCCAAATAGTTCTCTTAAGGGTCACTGGCGTCCTCCCATGACCCAAAGCTCTGTATATCGCGAGCTACAGCTCGTGGTATACCGAGACCGCCACAGCCGGGACGGATCCCGACATTACTGTGAAGATCCACCCAACTGCGAGAATGACAGCGGGCTCTGCCTATCTAGAGGCAGAGCCAGCTGTGCCCGCCCTCTTCCCCATCCATTCCTTCAGTCAGCGCTGGAGGATCAGAGCTAGAAGGGGGGGAATCCCTGCAGGGAGCCGTGACTGACAGTCATGGCTCTCCGCAGGGAGATGATCGAGCGGTGAGCGAGCGACGGTATGTGTTTTCGCTAACTTCCCGATCTATTGAGCCGACATGTGACAGTTTAATTGGTCACACGTCTGCTCGAACTAGGAGGATGAGTGCTTTTCACTCACCTCATATTTCTCTTTAAGTATTGTTACGTATTCAATATAGACACCCCGCATTGCGCTACTAGCACCCTGCTACACATCATTATCCCAAAGAGCTGCTCGGACACGGATTTCACAAACATGGTTTTTAATTTGTGCTCTACATTGCATGCTTTCTATGCTGTATTATTCTGTACCCAAATGTATGATATGTGTACAAGCACTGTGTTACTAAAACTTTATTATGGGGAAAGAAAGGTTTAATAATGCAAATGTGCCCTATTGAGTTACATGAAGTATAATTTTAATGATTGGCCCACTTTTAAAAAAGGGGGGTGGGGGAGATATAGGCAGGCAACGATAACTTTACTCTTAACGAAAATGCTGAAATCAATGGGATCAATATATTAAGTCAAAGATCTGGAATAAGCATGCAAATCAGGAGCTCTGACTTCAGTGGCAGCAAGCTTGTTAGATGCTGGTTATGGAGAAATTACATCCAGTGAGCCAGGACACTAGCATTTTGAGAATTAAGTAAGCCTTCATATTTCTTTCAGTACTGTTTTCCGTTAAGCTCTCAGTTCCTGGTCTGAA